AATCTTTTTTAACAGTTTTTTCCTTTTCTATTGCTTTTTCTCTCTTTATATACTCTCTCATTACCGCCTCAATTACATCATTTGTTCATTGACATCACTTCCTAATTTAGCATCACCAAATATCAGTGCCCCCACTTTCCTGATCTCTGCTCCTTTTTTAATCCGGTTATTTTTCCTGAAATAATTTGACAAAATGATTGATTGATTGATTGCCTGCTCCTTTTTTAATCCGGTTATTTTTCCTGAAATAATCTGACAAAATGATTGATTGATTTGATTTGATGATCAATTAGTTGATTGAGTAAACGATTAAATAATGAATGACAAATTATTTAATTAAATCCGGAATATTGAATAGGTATGTGAACATCCTTAATTGGTTAGTACTTTTTGCGCCCTTACTTATTGGGGAGGAATTAATAAGTAAGCTTAGTAATTTTTAATATATCATCTGAATGATCAATGATATATCACGTATATATCACGTTATCATTTTATCACGTATGTATTACGTTTCAATAATGTTACGTTATCACTTTATCACGTATGTATTACTTTTCAATAATGTATCATTGTTTGTCTTGAATATTTGAAAGTATTCATTTACCTGAAATTATTACCGTACCACATATAAATTATTAATCATAAAATGTTAATTAAGTTAATTGAATAATTAAATATAATGTTAACGTTTACACGGATGAGGATGTTATACAGTTTTATTAGCAATAAATATGCTAAAAATTTTACGTATACTACGCAGTTAAAATATGTTACACCGTGTAATCTCAATTTTCCCATTTTACGTCTGTTTACGAATTGCGTCATTTTACGTCACTTTACGTGCAATAATTTGAATGATTTTAAAACGTTAATCATTATTTCCATTTAAATAGTTATTTCAGTAATAGTAATTTCCATGCCCATTCGTTTCCGCATAAATATCAGTACGCTTTTCCTGAGATTAAAAAAAAAAATCCGGTTTTCTTCCGGTTTTTTTTCATCTTCTACTGCAAACTTTAATATTCGACCAATTTTGTAAGTAAGTGATACTACAAGTGATATGAAAACATTGATATCATAGTGATAACCAACAAGTATCATATCATTCCTAATGAAAAAAAAAAAACATATGACATCTAATTAAAGGTTAAATCTTGTCCTGTTACTGTTATTCCATGATTTTTTTTTTTTTTGCTTATTTTTCCCTACCTTACAAATTCTATTCATTCTCTCTTGACAAAAAAAAAAATTGCAATTTCAAAATTATTCATTCAAAAAAAAAAAACCAAACAACTTTTATGAAATCGGATAATACTGTAAAAACAAAAATATTATATTTCCATTTTATTAAAATTAACATATCTGTCTTACTTTGTCGTTTTTTTTTTCTTCCTCTCAATTTGTTGAATTTTTTTCAATTTATCCAATTAATGAATTATCGATTGATAGTTTTGTAATTAAATTTAAAAATTATAGTAAAATGAAATATCCTGAAATTATTCATCTTTTAATTTATGGCAAAAAGCAATATATATATATTTCCGTCAAATGAACACGTACGTATTACACGCAAACATATTGTTTAGCATATATATATTGGTATATGTTAAAAAATATTTGCAATTTTAATTATGTAAAATCAAAATAATTATTAAACATGTACTCATGAATTTAAATATGTGTTTTATGTATTTAAATATCTATTTTGTGTATTTAAATATGCATTTGATGTATTTAAATATGTATTTTATGGTATTGGAAAAAAATAAATTAGCAAAAAAAGCATGAATAGTTGAATACATAATATAACATTTACCTTCTACTATCAATTCATTGATCTTTTTGATATGATAAGATGTTATTAGTAAATGAGAAAGGGTTATGCTGATAAATGTTGATGAATAAAATAAATGAATGACATCAATGTAATAGATGAATGAAAAGGAAATTAATTCTATTTCATTTCATTGTTAATTCCATTTCATTCCTTTTATTTGAAATAAATGAAATGGAATGAATAACAAATGAATGAAATGGAATGAAATGAATTGAAAGGAGAATATTCAAGTCTTCAATTTTTTCGTTCTTTTTTTATTATATATTTACATTTATATTTATCATCTTTTCAATAAATGAACAAGATAAAAACATTGTTAATTAATTGAATAAATGAATGAAAGCGAAAGGTTAAAGATTAAATAAAAATAAGTAATGATTAAATAAATATTAAATGAAATAAATATATTCCATAATTTCATAAAATTAAAAATTTATCTTCCATTTTCAACTTTTTCATTAAAATTTATCTTCTCTTGTAACTTTTTCTTCTTCCTGTTCCTATTTTTCGTATTCATATTTTTGATCATATTTGCATATCTATTTTCATTAATTTTACCTAAAACAACTACTTTCTTCAAATCATTCAATTATTGTCATTTAATCCCATATTTGTCATCATTTCTTCTTTTCAGCTTTACTTACTATCGTAACCTTTAACCTTTAGCTGCTTCATATTTTTTTTTTCTTTTCAATATCTTTTACTGTATTTTTTTTTTTTTTTAGCATTCATTCAGGTGATGTTCATGCTCATCTTTTTTATCTTTTTTTATTATCCTAGATAACTTACATCATACTCTTCTCTATATATAAGAAAAAGGAATGATCGGGAAGGAAGAGAGCGGGGGAAAATTCTAAAACAATAAGGGAAATATGTGAAATATTGAAAGTTTTGGATGGATGGAAAATTTTAATTTGATAAATTATGCCAAAAAATTTGAATAAATTTTAAGAAGAAACCAAATATCACTCGTAATTTTTGATTAATTAATTTCCCAATTAGTAATTTACGGACTATAAAAATTAAAATATTAGTCCAAGAGGATGACAGTAACGATGACTGGAAAGCAGATGATAGCTATTCTTATCAATGTTTGATAAACTAATATGTTAAATTAATGATTATTTTCAAATTAACAAAATTTATTATTTTTAAACGTTATGATCCTTGTTACGAATAAAAAGGTCAGAATGGTCAATGGTCAAGAAAAGCTTAGGGGCTATCAAAATTTAGCGGAAAGAGAAATGAGAGGACAAGAAAAAAAACACGGGCAAATGATTAATTATATAATATGAATAAGTTTTTAACAATATACTTCATTATCTTCTTTATCTTTCTTCATTAACTCTTATCAAATCCTTTTTTTTTCCCCGGATTCTAACCAATCAATCACTGCAAAAGATAATTGCTAGCATTAATTAATTAAACTTTAGATAAAGATGATTAACGCATTTAATTAATGCAAACGTATTTAATTAATGTAAACGTATTTAGTAACGTAAACATACTTAATTAACGTAAACACATTTTAATTAACATAAATATACTTAATTAACATAAGCATACTTAACTTATTACAAATTTATTTTCTTATTTTAAAAAATCAGATTTTTTCTCCTTTTTTTTCTTTTTGTTCGAAATCATCAATTAATTTTAGTTTTATATGTAAATATCGGCAAATTATATTTTGAGGAAATTGTAGTTAGAATAAGGAACCGAAAATTGTTGCGCTTAATTTATCACAATTATTATGTCACAGTAACTGTCAAGGACAAAGATCATCTGATAGTAATTATCAGCAAATCTAACTTATCATTGTCGGGTATTAATAATTACTGATAAGAACGTAGTGATGCATCTAATTTATTCATCATCTAAACTTTGATAGTAAGTGATAATGATAGTTAGTGATAATGGAAATGAACAATGAATAGATTATAGTTTACAATGGAAATGAGAGTAAATGATAATAGAAATTAACAGTGAATAATGATTGAAAGGTTATAGTTCATAATAGAAATGATAGTAAGTGATAATAGAAATGGATAATAAATAATAACTGGAAAGTTATAGATGACAATAAAAATGATAACGAATATTAAATAATGATAAGAGGAAGATTCGAACAATTCATCATCATTCGTTATCTTTTTTATGAAAATTTATCAATTCATTTACATTTCATTTCTTTCCTCATTCATTTTCCTCGATCTAAAAACATTCTTAGTTTGTTTTATTTATTTAATTATCTGTTTGTTTATTCATTTGTTTGTTTATTTATTTATTTACTTATTTATCTGTCCGTTACTTATTTATTTGTTTGTTTATTTATTCATCTGTTTATTTATTTACTCATTTATTATTTGTTCATTCATTCATTTGTTAAATTACTTATTAATTTATTTTCTTATTGTATCAGAAATTCAACAGAAATTATCCGAACATTCTGTACGATATATAATCTAATCCAAATCCGGCTCATGATAATGCTAAATGTTTAAATCATTCCGTTTAATTCCTTCATTTAAGAAATTAATTTTTCATTTTCCTTACTAATAAAATGATTTTGTAAAATTATGAAAAGAAAAAAAAGGAAAATTGCAATTTTTTAATTTTTTAAAGTAGCAAAAAAAGAAAATTAAAAAAAAGAGAGAAAAAGAAAGCTTTAAAACTCATAAAAATAACAGTTTTGAAAAGAAAATTTTGAGAAAAAAAAGAAAGAATTTAAGTTTTACAAAGGAAAAAGTTGATAACATCATATTTTTGTTAAATTTCAAGTAACAATCAATTCAAATGAATTTTTAGTATTTTTAGAAATTAGCATTTTCTTCCAATGTAAGCGATCTTTTTCAATTTCACGGACATTAGGTTTATTCTTTTTTTCTCACATCATACTTAATGGATTTTCCAATTCACATGTAAATATCTACATATTCAAAAATTACAGTTTCATTCTCATTTTAGCGTTAAATACTTTAAAGTAAATATTTCGAAAGTGAAATATGTGAAAGTACTTTAAAGCAAATATTTCAAAATTGAAATATGTGAAAGTACTTTAAAGTAAATATTTCAAAATTGAAATATGTGAAAGTACTTTAAAGTAAATATTTCGAAATCGAAATATGTGAAAGTACTTTGGAGTAAATATTTGGAAAATGAAATATGTGAAAATACTTTAAAGTAAATATTTTATGGAGAAATGGAAAATGGAAGATTTGATATGAAATAAATTTGAAATAAAAATGAATTATACATGTGACAGTCATTTTTATTTGTCCTAATCTAAGTGCAACTAATGAAAGTAAGTCATATTATAACAAATAACGATAGTATTATTAATTAAAATAATGAATGATTAAAAGATATGATCATATCATTATCATTTATTAATCAGCCAATCCACCAATCAAAATAGTAAAATAGAATGCAAACTTTCAAATTACTTTTTTTTTTTTGAATTTTAAGAATTTCCATAAATGTATTGATCAAATTTTGAAATAATACATTTCTTGGAATTAATTTAAATTAATTACTTTTCTATGATAGAAATCTTAAAATTCTTAAAATTACAAAACATGACGATATGATATTATTATCGAAATTAATAGAATTAATTTGTTTTATATTTATAGGATATATTATCCATCTGATGATAAGATTAGTAAACAAATTAATTAATTGGTAATAGTAATATGCGCCTTTGAAATAAATATAAATATTACAAAAAAAAAGAAGTGACAGATAATAATGGAAATGGGAAGAAACAATGCTTAATATTAAATCATTAATCAACAATAAGCGCATAAGAACAATAAGCGACAATATAAGAACAATAAACAATAAGCGCATAAGAGGATTAAAATTCATTGAATTAATTAATGAGTTAATTAATTATCTGAGAGTGTTTTTTACAGTACGTCTTTCACAAATAATGGAGGAAAAAAAAGTTAAATGAATCGGTGAATTTAATTCGAAAGAAAAATATTAAAATGATTACGAAATAATTGTTTTCAATTTAAGTAATATTTTAAGTATAGAAATTCGAAAGTAGCAAAGTTTTAACTCCTATTGAATAAAGGTAATTTGATTTAAATTATCGCAAATTAAACAAAAATTAAGTTAATTGAATTAAGATAAAACAAATGAAGAATAAAAAATGGATGGAATTAATATGTTTAAGTTGTGATAACAAATAATAATAATGCGATCATTTGGAAGGAACATTTCTTAATTGACTCATTAATTAATTATAGTAATAATAATAAACCTTTAATTATTGCAATAATTTTCTTGCTCGTATTTATGCTGATAAATACCAATCATTCAATGATAAGAATAATTGGTAAATTAATTGATTGTATGAAATAATAAATAAATGAAATATAAACATTGTGAAATAAATGAAATGTAAACAAACGATAGATAATATCCGTCAAACAATCATTTTTATTTCAATTATTCTATTTATCACGTACATTATCAGACTTATATGCTTACTATAACTGATAAACTGATAAATGGAAATGGAGAACAGGATTGGAGTTGAAATTATTTAAAATACTTCCAATATCATTCAAATCTAATTACACCTAATTTAAATCTCCCACCCAATAAAATTAATTTATCACGATAATACGCGTCTTTGTATCTATCCTATATGCAGATAAATGATTATACCATCTGCTTAAAGTATTAATTACTTCTCTGAAAGAAGTAATTATGGTAATTCGATATCATATAGCATTAATTCGATACCATATAGCATTTCAGCTATTGCATTTCCGATTCCTCCAGCATAACGACAAAGTTTTACTTTTAATATCTATCATAAAATGATAGATCAAAAATCACCAAGCATTCTTTGCGCTGTGACAAATTTCTGTTTCGTCATATTTTTGCCATTAAAGTTTATCATATTTTTGCCGACAAACATTATTTTATTAGTAAAAATTTGTTCGAATCAAATCAAGTTAATTAAAATAAATTATTCGATTATTAAATTACAAAGAAAAATCTAAGTAAGTAGGAAAGATTACAAAATTACAACAATATCACGATATAAGGCATATCACATTAGAGCATGCATCAATAAGGAGAAAAAGAAAATTACAATCAAAAACTTCAATTATGAATATACTTCAGTATGCCTAATGTTTTAGATTAAAAATAACTAACGTTACTAACTATTAACATACTGACTAAATGGAAAGTAAAATTACAAATTCAAATTATCATTGAATTCTTATTAAATTCAGATTTCTAATTCGTTCATAATATTTCATTTAATTCATCACTGAATTGTTCTACCGTATGATAAGTGACGGTAATCTAACTAAAAATTAATTTCTTACTTGAATATTATTAATATATCATACCTATTCCCTTCATTCTTAGTGGGAAATTTTATATCAATGAAAGGCAAGAAGTAGGTACGACACGGGTTACAACAGAATTTGTTGCATAAATAACGTATACAGAAATACTGTTTAATATAAACAAAACGTAAATTCTACTTTAAGTGAGATCCTTGAAATTAACACATCCGAGAAGAGTGAAGTTCAATGAATGTTTGTGTCAGACTTGACAATTTACAAATTTCGTTCATTTTGGTAATTCTGATAAAAAATAGACAATATTTGGGAGAAGGGAATGATCAGATACTCTATTATATTGTTTGGGTAGAATATGTGGTACGATATATGAATAGCAGAAAACAAGATTCAAGAATTAACGAAGAAATGATGAGAAAGGTTAGGAGAATCGCATTATGAACAACAAAAGCATTCTAAAAACCTGAAATAGCATAATCCATCCACTGTTTAAATACCATTCTATTGGAATAAATTAGTTTTAAGCAACAGATTCTCAGGAACAGTTGTTGTCAGCATGAATGATCGATGAATTCGAACTATAAAGTGCATGAGGCAAGCGGTGCCAAGATGAATTTGTGGATGTACTTGTGGCTAAACGTTTTTTAAATTTTGACCAAACCGGTTCTTCTGTTCCCGATCACGACTTTGTGACAATGAAAGTGCACTTCTGATGAGCTTTGGCCATCTACAAGTATGAACTTGAATCGTGTAAGCAATGAGTCGTATTTTGGAAGCTATTAGCTTAAAAAAAAGTCTTTCAATTTTTTAAAATTATTAATTCAAGGCTGAAATTCCAATTATTAAGGTAAACTAAAATTAGCAACAAAACAAACAACTACGCTACTCTATTGGTATGTATTGTCTTTAATGTTATATTTAAGCTCTATCAATACTGAATATCTAACTCTGTACATACTTCGATATCTTGCATTTTTCCAAAATCAATGGACTACGAACATCTGATATCTCAGCATTATCAGTTGAATATATACCAGCTTCATAAGAAAGTGGACGTTTTCTAAAACATGACTAACACGAATTATTCGTTTTCATTTTACTTAGCAGAATGTTTTATGATCACTTGCCATGTTATTCATTTTGTGATCTAAAATATTTCAAATCAATTACCACAAAGATAGCACTTTACGAAAGTGCATTGTTCAGTTCATTTCATGAAATTTCACCATCTACTTATGTGTACTATAAAAACATGAATTCTTTCCCATAATTCTTCCGTATTTTTTTGACCCAAATAAAAATTCATTGATTGATTCTTTCAACTTTAAATTTTATTTTTGACTATGGAAATTTCTTTCCCGTAGACTGTACAATATTTTTGCACAGGTCCGAACAATGTACGCGTCATATTTTATATGTTCCTTATAAAATCCTTACAAGGTAGAAAAGATGACTCCCCATAGAAATTCTGATAATTACACTAGATGACAAAGCAAATACAAATTGATTAATAACTCACCTTGACATCAAACCTTTACAGAGTGACTGCATCCCACTATAATTTCCAAGATATTGCATATTGTCAGATTTTTGCATCTCATTTACTTGCAATTTCTCTGTATCTTTCATTTGTTGACCACACGCATCCTTATAAGGTAGGGAAGATGATCGTCTATAAAAATTCTGATGGTTATATTGTATGGTAAAGCATTAAAAAAAAGAAAAGGGAACAGTAAATGCTATAATAGAAGTATATGGATGAAGCTTCTGCACCTTATATAATTGATACAAATGAACTGAAAGATTTCATGATGAAATCCATAAGATCAATAGCATACCGGCTATCTTTTAATCTTACCAAGGTGTATAAATAAACCAATTATAGCAATACCCGATTTGTTTTGGGTAAGTCCTTCCCGCTCAAAAGTTGTTGTTTACACAATGTACATTTAATGCTTCATATTTCGAGGAATCGTCAGGCAACCGTAATTCTTTCTTTCACATATCCTTGACAACGTACGACTCTACCTATTTGCATTGATATAGATAACTCGCGATCCGGATGTTTATTTTTTCTCTCACTTATGAAGATATCCTAAAATTACATTCATCCTACGAAGAGTTACCTCAAGCACAACTACACCTTATCCTGGCAACACAATAATACAAATTAGATCACAAATAATATCATCACATTAAGAAACACATTATGCATCCTTCACATCATCAGTTTCTTCATTATAGATTTATTTTATCACTTTGTTTTCATTAGTGATGGCGATTCTTATTAACTTGCTATTACTAGCAACAAGTTGGTATGACTATCAAATTACCATAAAACATCCGAAGAATGTTTTAACAATTCTAAATTACAAAGTAACGTGAAGAAATAGAACAATAAAATTTGCCATATAATAGCATCTGTTTTGCTTCATTGTGTTGCATACATACATAAATAAACATACATGTACCTGTACGGAAAAATCGAACATGTCAGTTGTGGCCTGTTACTGTTGACATTGTTATTTTCATGGATATAACTAGTACACAAGTTATCGTCCCGAAGAAATGTAGCACGTTCAATGATACGGCGTAACAACGATGGCTCCTTTCCAACCAAAGAAATAGATGATCCTTTACTGACTGCTTTAAGAAGAGTTAGATTATACCCGAATCGATTTATATTCCTCTTCCTCGTAAAATGATAGATTATTATGCAAGAAAAGTGATAATCTAAATCTATGTATGATGAAAATGAAAATGAAAACTAAACTTGAAGACAATATATCAATAATTAAACCACCTACAACAATACGTCGCAGTTGATACAAAACTTTTGGGAACTATATCTACATAACATATCGTAGAAATGTGTTCATTTGAATTCACACATAATGAAAAACAAACCACGAGAGACATCATTACAGTAAACTGCACATACCCGAAGTGGAAAGTCTTCTATTTCGAACAGACATTCGTGGAAAAATATTCGGTGTCAACTTTTCATCCAACAACAGCTCGCATTCATCCTTTATTGCAAATGTTGCATTTCTACGAGATGTTAACCAATACGTAGTCATTAATCCTTTACCCTACAAATATTACAAATTGGTATTTTATCCTTTCTCTCCAAAAACAAATTGAGCAAAAAAAAGAAAAAAAACAAACAGTAACCTCGTCACTCATTTAAGAAGAATAAGAAAACCTTCTGACTCAAACTTTCAAATTCGTTTATAAAATATAAAAGGATTATTAATCAAGTGAAAAATAAGTCTTCCAATCTCGGTAATTTTAGTAGTCAGTGCAATCGACCTTAATTTGCAGCGTGCCTCGTTTTTTCAATTCAAAACCATCAATCCTTGCTAGAACATCATGCGTTTCTTCGCTGCAGTGAATTTTCAGGGCTACAAAACTTCAAGGTAGCAGATAATAATAAGCCAGAAAACTTTTGCAATTTGAAAACATTTGTGAAATTGTAAAAATTTTCAAACGTCATTTAAAAGTGAATCTAGTATCAGTGATTTCTTCTATTCTCAGAATTTTTAACAAAAACTTGTCTGTATCCTTCCGTAATAAAATAATTTAGCGGGAATCCAGAAGAAGTTAGTAACTTCACCACAACAAACTCTGCGTTTTTTTTTTTACTAAATACAAAACCATAACCCAGAACCCTTTAAATTCTCATCAGATCAGCTAAATACTAAGCTTTCAATTCGTTACTGTTTGTCTCACAGAAATATACCAAAAAAGTAACTTACGACAACCATTGCTTTCCATACGTGAAGCTGTATTCACTGTATCACCGAACAAACAGTAACGTGGCATTGTTTTGCCTACAACACCAGCCACACACGGTCCTGTATGAATGCCAATACGTAATCTGAGCTGTTCCTGGGGTAGATGTGGGATTTTAAAGTTCCGAACAGCAGCCAGAAGATGAAGTGCCATCATACCAATTTGTTCTGCATGTACTTCGACCGGACGAGCTTCAGGCATTCCAGAGACTACCATGTATGCGTCACCTATCGTTTCCACCTAACAGTGAAAATTCTGCTCAATTCTTTTCAACTTTTTAATATCATCAACAATTAATGGGTCAGCGAGATATCCCCGACCACCTACTGAAAGTCTCCTGATTATGGGCCACAATACAGGATTTCTTAGAAGAAAATATACTATGAATATATTTTAATGTAATTTGATTAATAACTTCGTCATGCCGTAAAGATTCAATATTTCGAATCATTTGAATTTCGTCAGTTAAAATCTCTAAGCAAGAAACATATCGAGAACACTATGGAAATAAAATAACCTTGTAAACATCATACTGTTTGATGATATGATCAAATAGGGTATATAATTTGTTGAGGAATTCAACTACTTGCAAAGGAGTTGATACGCCTGAGATTTTTGTAAAGTCGACAATATCCGAGAAATAAATGGTAACAGAAGAAAACGATTCCGGTACAACATCCCGACCAGCAAGCAACTGCTGAGCCACCGAACTAAAGAAATTGCAGAATGATCAGAACATGGTAACATGTAAAACATAGTAATGATCAGAACAGAACATAATCGGGGTACTACAAACCACAATAAAAGAAAAAAAAAGAATTATTAATACTACAAGCCATGGCAATTAAATAATGCCTTAAAGCTGACCAATTGCATTATCAAAATTTAAACTAAAACAAGAAAAAGGGAAGGACAACGTTAATAAATGAATAAAATCTAGCAAATTAAATTTAATTATTGAATTAAAGTCAATATGGTGAAAAGTGTTAATTCAATGTTTTGACAAAGTGTTAATTCAATGTTTTCTCCCTCTACAAAATTAAAAGCATTCTGAAAAGCATACACAGGCAGCATACGCTGAAGCAAATTTTCTGTTCGCCGTTTTTCTTCTCTCAATTCAGTGGTACGCTCATCCACTAAATCTTCCAACTGATTTTGATATTTCTCCATCATTACCATCATATGGTCCTTAAAATATGCAAGGTAGTTATCCTGATTCATTATAATAACTAAAAGTCATGATAAAGGACATGAAGAATTCTTGAAAAAATTACCAAATTGTTGAGAAAAATTACCAGGATATATGATTATAAGTCAAACAAAGAAAAAAGTAAAACAAATGCTAACATAAAGTTGGCCATAAAAGTTTAGTTATTCTTTTTTCAGCAATTCGAAAGCTTATAAATGGATTTTTTAAACATACCATAATATTTCTTTTGTAAATTGGTTCAAACATAGGTTTTAGTTTGTGTCGAATAGTTCGGAAGTCGGGACGATTCCCGGGAATAGCAGACCAACTCATTGTCATAACATTGACAACATAACTGGCAGCCGGGAGCCCGTCACATGATGGACGATAATCAACATTATTCAATACATTCAACACTACTTCTACAATTTTAATGTTCACATATTTCACATACCCAATGAAGACACATCACGAAATTTCAAGTAATGTGACAATACGATGTGACATAACGTAGTATGACGTAATGTGACATCTACAAATGGCAATCAAACCAAAAAAAATCTCATATCTTATGGAAATTTGGGACCTCATATAGATATTCATATAGCTGTTGACAGCTGCAACGGCATAAATTCGGATCTTTATTTTAAAATAAGTTCTGGGATTTCTGATCCCTGTGATGACAACATGTCTATGATAACAACATCAGAGTATTAATTTCTGCAAGTTATTTTTTGTTTTACGTGATACTAGATTATATGCATCCATAAAACCAAAAATGAAGCTGTAAAAACTAATGACTACACATTAATAAAAAGTTGACCAAGACAGAAAACAGAAATAACCTTTGGCAGTTAAATCACTGTTTCGGAGCATCATGAATGGTCCCTGTCGTGTTATAATTTCATGCAAGATAATACCAAACGAATAAGCATCGCCCTTTTGAGTACCTTTAACAGAATGCACACATCCACTTTTCAGTAACAATTCCGGCGACGTCCACAGAAAATTTTCCCACTAAATATCAAAAAATGTTATATTCACGTATGAAACAGGTACATGCAAAAATGTGAAATGTAGAAAGAAAGAAACGGAAGTGGTACAAAGTATGAAAGAATATTGTCAAACTCAACCATAAAATCATCACTTCCCCATTCCTGGCCATCTCGAATTTCGTGTAACCCGAAATCAGCTATTTGTAAAGCCCATCGACTTGTAATCAAGCAGTTGGTAGATTTTAGATTTCCATGGACTCCCAAGTCTGATTCATGCAGATATATCATGCCCTTTAAACCAATATACAATATTTCATTTTTTCAGCCATGCAATGTTTAGAAATACAATGAAATAATGAATAAGTTAATAAGTTAGAGAATACCTTTACAAGATCTTCCACAAATGATGCGATGAATAAATGGTCCAATTTGAGGTCATGATTACGGAGGATATCCATCAATGAACTTCTCGCGCAGAATTCTCTCACTACACATATAGATGACGAACCAACCACAATTCCTATATATCTAGTATTGATTCTAAGGGAAAAATTTATCAACTTTACAATCTAAGGAATGCTTTATTCGTCAGATAAGTTATCAACCTATTCTGAACAGATTCTCTTTTCTTTTAAATGAGGAAATCATGTAAGACAACGAGGATTCATTCAGAAAATGCTATCAGAACGAAAAGATCAGCCAGCAGAGATATTATTCCATCCTACTGTTAGTGATACCATTACGAATTAGCTTTAAATGGGATCTAGATGCAATTGAACTGACGATAGTTATTATCAATCGCTATTAATTAATCGCTCTCGAACCAATGAATGTCACAAAATATATCAAACTGCACACCCCTGAATGAGTTAACATTGTCATGATGCAACTGACGCATAATTCTCATTTCCAATTTGGCTGCTCGAGTCAATTCCTTTACCTTACGCGGATAAGTAATTTCATTAATGGATACCACAGCTCCTTTATAAAGTGCAACACCACATAATCCAGGCCACCGTTTCTCCTGATTGCACTCCTCATCGTTCTGCAGCAACATCTAAGAGTTCTATAGATATGATTGTATTTACTTTTCAGTGTTTGACTCAGTTAATCATACATATTCAACTAGCATTATGTCGGAAAGTTCAATGAAATGGATAACTAACAGAACAGTTTGGATGGAGAAGGGATTCAATATCTTTTGGTAACTGCAATGAAGTAAATGCCATAAAAGTTTGTCAAAAAAAAAAAAGATTACCTGGTTATTTTCCACAACATATAATGAAACAGCAGACTCACAGCACTGTACAATCTTTTCGATTTCGCGTTGATCAATTTTCCAAACATTTGATAGCTCTTTCTCAAATTTGTAACTCCTGAAATTATTTCATCTCTTCTGAAAATCAAACGTCAATCTGGAGCAATTACTACAAATTACTTTCTTTTTCTTTCTTAAACTGTGTAACATACCGATAAATCATTGCACTTCCAATAACCGAGAAAAAACAGAACGCAGTGGTTGTTGTCAGAAAAACTGTTAACCACCAATCTGAAAGAACTTTCCAGGATAACAGGATATGCTTCAGTAATACTAAAATTAGCCTGTCCCTGCAGGCAACAATTTATTTAGTCCTTACAGGCAATAATATTTTCACATTTTTAATTATGATCTTTCAAGATTCACCAAATTCCAAATAACAAAAATACGAAAAAGGGTGCTGAATCACTTATAACTTTCCTGTTCAAACATGAAACTGAAAAAGAAACCTTTTTTGCACATTTTCCCATGAAATCCACAAATAGGTTCGTCACGAGGTGCAAATCCGGTAGGCCATTGGATATTACGTTTGAAGCGTAACAGAGGAAGATCGCCCAAAAAGTCGTGAACGAAATCAGCAGTAATAGCTAAACCATAATTAAGCGGATAGTAGTCCGGATTATTCACATCCAGTACTGGCTCTATTTCTTGTAGTGCCAGTAGAGTATAATTGCCTTGTGCATCCCCGTTGCTATTAATATGCATATCGAATCCTTGTATACCTGCAATCAACATCGTTCTTTTTTTTTTTTTTTGAAGCACCTGCATTCCAGTACTCGGTTCATCAAACCGGAAAAAAAATGGGATAAATATAACAGCATAGCGTCAAGATATTTCATTTCATTAAATAAATTATGAAAAATCTACTACCCTATTTTGATATACTTACTTCGATACACACGCCCCAAGATGTGATTAATGATCCGTTTTCCATCCGAGACAGGATCATAGCCATCTGAATATTGCTCACTGGTAGTTTCGTTCAATACTATTGTTAATGCTAATGCATATAATTTCACAGCATCATATAAATAACATGCAAAACGATTTGCCTGTAAAATATAAAAGATGGAAAGATCAGCTTTTTAATTAACTATAAAGTATCAGCTGGTAAGCTTTCTGAACATTACTAAGGATTAACTAATAATACATAAGGCTAAAAATTAAAATACAGCAAAAATAATGACAGATAAACGATAGCCGGGGAATGAAAATAGCAAGTAGTCTCAACTTCGTGTAAAGAACTCGAAAATAGATACTTTAATAGAAGTTGTAGTATTGCTCTGTTTCATACCAAATAGTGGTAAATAATGATTAGCTTTACGCCAAAATGCTATAAATTCTGGAGCATTTAACTGTACCGGCGTTGGAATGATTGCCAGAGCAAATTTCGAAAAATTTACAACTTTTCGATCTTGTGAATTCAAATCATCCCATGATTGCTTTACCGAAAGCAGAGTATCTAAAAATAGCATCAACATAGCGGGATATAAATTTATAGGAGATAAAATTTCCAAGTTTACAATCAAATCTAGAAAATCTCGTAGAAAAAAATTTTAGCTTGAAGATTTTAGGGATTGGATTAAGTTTCGATAGTTTACAATACCAAAAATTCCCTGAAAATACCTCTGAAAAAATGATTATTCATGGCATGATAGGTGTTCAACCAGTTATAATCGGGATCCAGATAAATCAACGCATAATCACCAGATTCCATTAAACCTTGCGCTCCCATTTCCAGAAGTATCCGACGAAACAAACGAACATTTCCAAGCGTCAGATAAACTACAAAGTTTTCAGCTTGTCGGGTTAAAGCAAAAATAAATTTTCCGAGTAGCTGAGAAGTATCCTAATAAGTTTTCAGTATAGCGATTCAATAATAGTAGTGGATAAGTTTTCATATGTAGTAGTATTTCAATTAGTTTCGACATAATTGAAAACAAAGGTTAAACTCACTCCGAGTTGAGGCATATGTATCACGTATGATTTGCTCGATATTGCTTCGTTCAATTTCCGAGAACGGATGGGGTACAATACTCACATTTATGATCATATAATGATCATAAATGGCTTTCAGGCCCACATTCTGCTTTTCAATAGTGCTCTGCAACGCATGCTTAAACTTTATTCTCCATACTTTGTTTCTTGTTTTTTAAAACCAATACATTCACTGACCGTTACCGACCAACTGATAACGATAACCATACAACAACTATTCTATAAAAATTCTCTTCTGTGGTAAAAATAAGGACCAGAAAGGACATGGTACAAAAAAAAAATATCAATCCATGTGAAAAAAAAAAGTATAACTGTCGCTAAAATAAAAACCAGGGAGCTAATTAAACTTAAACTTGACAACTATCACGATAAGAGATCAGATAAAAGCATCAAATACCTTTATCGAGTGGAATAACTCCTCGTTTGCTACATTCCTCTCATAAATTACTGAGAATTTGCGCCATTTGAAATGTTTGAACAGTGCAATCATGGCAGCCGTTATTTCTGTTTCCGTTGGTACTGTTCTCGCAAATGTTGGATATCTGAAATGTATAAGTGGAAAACTTTAAATTCCTACGGTAGGAAATGTTTCCCAAACTTTTTATGATATTATCAAAGAACTTATTTCAGTAACTTGGTGGTTTATTCATTCCAAAATTAACTTTCAAAATATAAACTTGGATTTGTCGGACATCATCGCATCCTTGCATTTATAAGATAAAATGGGTAAATTCTGAGCAGCTGCCATTGTCGCTTCCGTCCGACAGTTCATTTCTGGACCGATGAAAACTTTAGCACCTTGTGCCCAGTGTTGCATGAAAAACCGAGTACCTAAACATCTATAAATATTGTACAGCGAAAGTGTACTAGTAAAATAACGAAAATACAAGGAAAAACCATCATGCCTATCAATTCTAATGTTCTACTTTTCTACGAAATGAGATAGAACTTTGCTGCTCGTCGCCACATGTGTTGTTGAAGGTATAAATTAGCTTATGATTTGGAAGCAATTCCGGATCGGCATTCACATCGTCCACGGCTACTTTTAAAGCTCCGGATATCATCGAACCTGAAAATAGGAAAGTTTGACTGCATCACAGTTGATAGATGGTACTACCCGAGACGTTCATGACCTGTTCGATTGCTTTTTTTATGACATATACCTTCAAAGTCTGTTCGGAAGCATTTCGACAAGTAGCCATAATTTTTATCCCTTTCAGCTGCTGTTTCAATGTTACTAGCCTGAAAAAAGTAATTACACTCTTTCTTCATTATTTCTGAATTTGGTCCCTAGTGACCTTTGACACCTTACAAACAATCATTGATTTCAGTTTACTTATTACTCACGCTTATCTCTGGAAAATCTCATTACTTGCCCTACATATATATATATATATATATATATTATATGTATTTGCATTTATATTTATGAACATATACATACAATCATCGAAATTTTTCCATTTCGACCATTTTTAAACAAATTAATTAAAAAACTCAAAGATTTAAGATACCATAACTGTAGAGAATGAAAGTAAAAAGTTGTTTATAGTCATCGATTATAGCGAATGTTCGTTCTTCTAACCCAATTTCAATATTCTTGTGATTCTAGCTGATCAAATAGTAATTTATTCAAATGTATATGCAATTACAGTTAAGCCATAGCCTATTATCATTTATTTATACGTATCTTTTCCGATGAAAACCATTCATTAGTTGAGTTGTAAATAGCTCAGCCTTTCCGTAACACACTGTAAGGTTACAGAAACAAACCTCAGACAGTAATTTTAGTGAATCGAATAGATTCTTTGGAAACTGACTTATTGCAGCCAAATAAGATATGAGTATCAAACGATCATTGTTTAATTTCTCATCCACTGTCTTTACCATTCGATCTACTGCTTTTCCATGGATGTTCTACAATAAGCTCATCTTACAAATTAGATTGCATATGACAAAGTAGTTGTCCTATTAAATGAAATTTAACCCACAAGGAATTCACAAACCATCATGTTATTGGTGAAATAGCAACATAAACCAAAGAAGAGAACACTTTTTTTTTGAGAGTTGCAGGCGGACATAGCGTTGACTTATTCGTTGTGCAAACACTTCATTTTCAATAGGAAGTACTGAACAACTTTAACTCTGCGTTCAGTAATTTCGTCATATCAATAAAAAAAGTATCGTCTGTTACGCTAAGCATCAGAAAAGTATCATCTGCTATTCCTTCATTTTCGAAAAGTACTTTATATTTTTTTTTTTTTGAAAACAAAAGCATTTTTTATTTGAAATTTTTTATCAAAGCAATATAACTTTTCAATTTCATTTGTATAATTTCCATATCCTGAGATATTTCTTGATATTTCTGCTTTTTGAAATAGTATTTTCCAATAATTATGAATATCGAAAAATTTCTTTTAAAAGAATAACTTAAGGATAGCTTTTGACGTTTGCTCTTTCCTGATCCTTATCGCATTGATTTCAACAATATAATCTGTTTCATTATAACGAAAGATGGCAATTATTCTATTGTAAAACAATAGCAATAAAAAACGTTAAATAAATAAGCTGCAAAATTAGTAACTAATTGCTTGCAATTAGGTAATTGATCGAACCTGTACAGGTCGTTGTTGTTTAGCAGATATCGTACTGTTGTAAATAAGTCGCCCATTTGTTGCAGCAGCAATATAATATACCAACCATAATGTTAGTAAGTGAATCATAATTACCAAATTGAAAATTACATCTGTATATTAATTAATAAGCATTATTAAATGAAAACTGAAATCAATGGATTGTAGGCCATTTGGGATAGAGAAATGAATTTACTACTTGAAATACACAGCAAGAGTAATCCAACTTCCCATTTCTAATCCCGTAACTCTAATCCTTCCTTCCTGAAAGTTGATAAACGCAAGAAACCTGGGAAAAGTACTTTGCATAGAAATTTTGCATAGGACCGCGGTAAATTGTTTCCATTGTTGCTTTTGTGTGAGGTGTCATTAATATGGGGTAACTCATACAGTTGGATAAATGATTTAACCTCGTCATACTTGTTTTTGAAATCAGGTTAAGTACATATAATTCATAAAATTTCGCTTATACTTTTATTTAACCTTATGACGTCATTACTTAGTTATTCCAGTTTTATTACTCATATATTTTCGTTACTTATTGCTTTTTTTTCGCATTTATTTTATTACATTAATTTTTTTCACTTTACTTATTTTATATTATAACACTCATAATTATCTTCATGAATGTAAGGTCATTTCACTCACGTGAACGACATGACGTAAATAGTTTTCAGTAAACCTATTCTTTTATAATCCGTATAACTGAAGCAAGTTATTTTCGTTATGCCATTGTTGTTAATTGCTGTCAATTGTTGTTATTGTTATTTTTACTGTTCGTGCTGTTGTCTCTGCTGTTATTACTGCTGCTACCACCACTACATATACATAGGGTAAAAGGTTTTAGTAGATTATATCTGTTCTGTCTCTTCTGATCGGTTTTATTATAGTGAAGAATATCCTAATATTGGTTATCGTTTTTCCTTCATTTTCCGGATGTTACCCTCATGAAATTGACTTCATTATTGTGCTTGCCGGTTGTACGAAATTGGAAAGGAGTAGCTGTTTGGCAAGAATCAGATCGTATTAAATTCCCGAAAGGCAAAAGTGAACGACGTTTCGCCTTACATAAGGTTAATTTATTGATAATAATAGTTATGGGAATATGGGCATGATTGGCATAATCACATTAGATTCATTTCTATACAATACTATATCCGGGCAGATTCGTTAAGCATACAAAATAAATATGTAACGGTAGTATAAATTAATGGATATGTCTTCCTGAAAGAGATTAACAGCAAAAGTTTAACTGTTATGCTACAGTACTAATTTTTCGGTCAATTCAAATATTTTCTACTAACATGAAATCATTAATATTTGAAATATGTCTTTGGAATCGTATCTTATCTAAAATTTCTATTTGAAATAAGTCCTTATGAATGTATGTAAGTATGCATTTCTTCCACGTCATGACTATGTGGATTTTTAATTAACAAAATTTTGTCAATTTCAACAACGCAGTTTTCAGTCACCAGCTGTCTACGCTTTTGTTATTACACTGTATATGCTTTACTCTCGGGTCCGAAGTGATAGTGATAAGAATTACAGACCAAGTAAGTCGGTTATTGTGAGATTAAAGCTTGATGGATTAAACAAGTTTGCACAATCCTGGAAAATATCGTAAATATCTCAATATTAAAATGAATGAACTGAGAAAATATGGAAATAGATAAGGTAGGGAGTGAGAAAACGAATTGTATTATGAAGGGGGGATAAGAAAGGTATGATTAGATATAGCTGAACAAAGTAATTTAATTCGTATAAGATAAGAAGGGTTTAACATAATTCGTTTCTGCTGAGTATATCCACATTTTTTTTCATTTGTTACTGAATTCTGTTGTATTAATGAGATAGGTGATGTAGATGCTACCATCGTCTCTTCGATGTTTTATTTAACATTGTTATTGGATGTACATCTTCGGTACTTCGTCTAGCACCATTGTTTAAGTAATTCGTTTGGATGATTTTGTCAAAATTTTAAACATAGGTGAAAATAAATTACTGTTTTTGCAGTATGGGCTCGAATCAGTGCGAATCAAGAGAACACAGCAGCGTTACCGGACCGATCCCAGCTAACGAAGTATACATATATGTTTTTTGAATTCTTGCTGGTATTTAAGCTAATAAAAAGTGGTCTTAAATATATTTGGGATTTATAGCTCATCCTGAAACAAAAGAAATGTAAACTTTATTTGCGTATGGCTTCTCTAAATCTTTTATTTTTTGATATTTGTAGCAATAATTCTGTATCGAAAATTTTCTTTTACTTGCCGCAAAATTTCTGATTTTTTAAAGAATAAATGACAATTGTACAGGAAATAATTTTAGATCAAAGCACTGGTGAAAGAGGCGCCGCCGGAAACGAAAGATTTTTATTTCCAACAAACAATGCTTCGCATCAAAGATCCTCGGAAAACGTTGCCATTTTACTGTAATATTCTGGGGATGAGGTTCGTGCAGTTCTTGCTGTTAATTTTCCCAAGTATTATTTTACACTAGCGGCTTATAAATAATTCTTTAAAAAATCAGTATTTCAGATTACTGAAGCAGATGGATTTTCCAGAAGGAAAATTCTCCTTGTATTTCTTGGGCTATAAGCCAGCATCAGAAATCCCAAGTGATCCTGTAGAGCAGAAACGCTATGCACTTTCGACATTAGCAACGATCGAATTAACTCAGCAAGTTTTACTGCATTTATAATTTGATTTGATTTATCTGTTTAATTCATCGTTAAATTACACTGCATATCAGAATTTAAGTTTGTCGCTCACAAATATGGACTTTACTATAAAAAAAAATGGGAATTCAGTGAATCGGTTCATCTACTAACTTTTATTTTAAATGATTATTTTTTCAGTAATTGGGGCACCGAGAACGATCCTAATTTCAGTTATCATAATGGAAATAAAGAACCACGAGGTTTCGGTGAGTTCTGTTTCATGAAGTTATTTTGAGGAATAATTTGATTTAATAAGTAGCGTATGCAGGCTGTGCGACACTGCGATAGTGTAATGGAATGTTTATAGGAAAATTCACCCTTGATGCGAAATTTCTTAAGACTGCAATGGGAAGTACCACAAAGAAATGATAATATGTTTTAGGTCATATTGGTATAGCAGTAAAGGATGTATATGCGGCATGCAAACGTTTCGAGGAATTAGGCGTTGAGTTCGTGAAGAAGCCCGACGATGGTCGCATGAAGGGATTAGCATTTATTCAGGATCCGGATGGTTATTGGATCGAAATATTCAATCCTTATACTGTATAGTTGCTTTTGGAATATGTAAAATTCTGTTGCTCTACTATTGTTTGATAAATGTTTTTAAATTTCAAGCTTTTTAAATATGTAAGAAGAAACTTTAAAAATTCTGATAAATGTTTTTTTGTGATAATGTTTTTCTGATAAATGTTTGATTAATTTGATTTTCAATCATGTTGATAATTATTGGCTTAAAAAGAGCATCAAGGCGGGGAATAAGTCCTGGATAAAGAAAATGGATTTTAGTATTGGAAGTACCAGTCCAATTTGGATTGGAACGCTTTCCCAAACAAGGAATGCGAACTTATCCAGAGATCGAAAAAGAATTTTCGCAATATCACTTTCATAGCAGCTTTTGAAGACGAACCTGTGATTTATGACAAAACTTAAATTCAGTTTCGAGATAACTAAAAAATAATTTGGCATAAAAATCGATTCAATTTTGCTCCAAATTCTTTTCCATCATAAAAATAGTTATCGATTATTAATGCGAATAAATTAACTCATTCCAATTTAAATTACATTTCAAAGAGATTGTATTTCTTACCAAATTGTTAATAATAATTAATGACTTTACACCCAATCCGTACTTATTAAAACATAAAATATATAAAACTAAGTTTTACATGAAACATCCGTCTAGTCGCAGTGCATTTTCTTTATTAAATAATGGCTTAACTTTTCGATTTTATTCCATTCCGACTGAAAAGCTTTTAAATATCCAAATAATCGTATTATTTACGTTCAACTTGATATTTTCCTGTCGTTACAAAGTGTAAATTTCAAAAGAAAAAAACGACAAAAACTTTTGCCAAGAAGCACTCAGTGGTGATGTCATCATGGATACTAAATTGATACAGTATTGAAGCGAATAAAATTTAAAAAACCAGCATCGTTGTTTATTCCAGTAAAAATTCTAATAACAAATAATTAGCCAGTCAATATCCAATTCAGAGATTCTGGACGAATCATTTATATTCCCAGATGATCTATGATCTGTCAGATTTATTATTGTAAGATGACTGATCTAATATTATTGATTATCTTAAAATATATCACAAATGAGAGTTCGTTTCAGAATCAGCAAATACGACAACGACAACTTTTTTTTTCATTTTTAAATTCTTTTTGAAATTTTGCATTCGGCTAAATTATTGATACTTATGGTCCAGTTGGCCTCATTAGATTGTACGGATATTCACCTTTTGTTTTTGGACTATATAAAAGATTGGATCGATGTGGTATTGGATCATGTGGCCCGGGTGTTGGTACATGTCCAGCGCAATATACCTAAAATTATCAATGAATATTCATTAATGATGATCTAAAAGGTTTGTTTTTTCCGCCCCCCCCCCCTTCTATTTTGAAATATTTTTTGAATTTCAACCTTTTTCAAACTTCATTTTCTTTTTTCTCCTATTCTTATTCTTCTTCTTTTATTTATCCAATCAATTATCTTCATAAAAATATTTCACTGGAATTTTTCATTGCATTCATTGTCAAATGAATACCAAAAAAAGAGAAAAAAAAAGTTGGAAAATTATTATTATTTTTATTATTATACAGATCTTATTTTCATTAACATAGCATATCTTTTTTTATTCCCTAAATGTTAAACTACAATTTATATATATATGTTACAAGCAGGTATATGAACCGGTATGTATAATGAATATATTATCATGTTATCATGATTACCTCAAGATCTTGCGTATCATTCCTGTTATTGTGATAAGTTTTCAGTGATAAACGTGATCCACATATCCAACATTTGAAACATCCCTTAAAAAATAAAAATTCTTTTTGTTCACAACAAATTTACTTATTTCATTATAGCTAAATGAAATTCTTTCATATAATTAAATTTATTTTTTCTAACAAATTATCATTTTTTTTTTTTTTGGACTTAAATTTATTGAAAATGAATTGAAATTTCAAAAGAAAAAAGACGAGATAATGAAAGCATTGTCATCCATCAGTTTCACTTTTGCCTTTTTGAAGAAGTGAAAGACTATTGAATGAGTTTGGAAAAACATCAAAATATGATGACGTAGGTTTAAATTTAAAAAAAAAAATTATAAGACAAAGATAGATATGAAAGATATGAATAAGGTTAGCATTCGAAGCATACCGAAAAATATTGATTAAAAATATAATAACGATATGAACAACTCATTAATTAAGATAACCAATGAAATATCATTTTCAGATATCAATAATTATCAAACAATCAGTACTCATCATTGTGGGATGATTTCTTCAATTTGAATTTCAATAGATTTAATTAACAAATTATAAGACAAAAGCTGCCGGAATTAAAGGATAAAAATGAGGAAGTAATAAGTTAAACTATTGTCAGAAGGAATAAAAAAATGATAACGAACAATTCATTTGTGGAAAATTAAGGAGTAAAATAAAACATCTGAAATAATCAATTTATTCTACGATTAATTAGTAATTAATCCTTAATTACATAATATAAAATGACAAGTGTATAGAATGACGTCACCTCATCAATTTTAAATTAATTTATATTCAATAACTTAATACTTTCAATGATCGAAAAAAATTATACTTATTTTTCAAAATAAAACAAAAACAAGAAAAGTTAGGGAATTTTAGATAACCAAGGAGAAATTCACCAATACAAAATGATATTTACTTTCACTTACTTTATTTATTTGAAGAAAAAAGAAAAACTTACTTTATGAAAAAGAACGCCATCTTTTAATGGGCCAATTTTATCATTAAAATAGGTCGGTCGTTTACAGCGAAAACAAAGTTCTTTCATTCTTTCTGGAAAAATTTTTGCATAAAACAAATATACCATTTTTTTTTTGTTATCGCTATCTTATTCAATATTGTAGTAATACAAACAAAGAGTAAATATTTTTGTGAAAAAAATTAAAAATATTAAAATCGATAAGTAATTAATTTTGCGAAAAAAAATATTACAAATAATTTTATGCAAAAAAAAATTAAAATATTAAGATATGTGAATGATAGTTTTATGGAAAAAAAAGTAATTGTTAAACACAACGAATGATTTTAAATGATCATTTTCATATTATGCCTATTTAATTTAGAATAATTCGAACGTTCATTTTTCAGCTGATTCAATATATGCCAACAATTGTTTGCTTTCTTTTTTTTTCGAATTTTTTTTTTTTTTATAAAATGATTTTGGTTTACTTTTATTGCTAACACATTGAAAAGTATCAGAATTTGGACTAAAATTGAATTAAATTTTTAAAAATAATATGGAAAAAAAGATGGAATCAATAAAAAGTAAAGCTTAATTTAAACATATTTGTTTACTTTGTTACATTGTACAACTTTATGGAAAGAAAAAGTAATTGTTAATGAAGAATTATTAAATGAATACTTAATGAGTAATATTGTCATAGGATGGATGAACAATTATATCTAAAGCTAGTTTTGGAAGAAATTTTGATGAAATAGGCGCAACTGAACAAACCAAACAAATTTGCTTAGGAGAAAAGGAGGCGGAGAAATGACAAAATCAAAGTGTGACAAAAGTTGTGCAACGATGTGACAGTGGAATTAATATTATGATGGAGGGCAGTAGTATTACAGATGATTGAGATGAAGCGGTGGATAACGTTTGGAAGAAGAAAAGGATGAAATATTAAGAAAATGTAGAAGTGGAGCTGCTAAAGAAACTATACTTATAGGAATCATATGTGAATGTTGAAGTAGGTAAACGAATTGCGAGCAATCGACTTGTGTAATCAAAAAAAAAAAATTATGGATAATAAAATACAGGTTCAGATATGTAAAAATAGGTTAAATTACTTGGGATAATAGTACTAAAATGTTCGATTTCTAATGTTTATAAATCGGTTTTGGAAAAGTAAGATAGATGTTCACATCTGAATTTAAGTAATCAATAACTTTTTATTAAAAGAAGTAAAAGTTATGAAACATTTTGAACCCAATAGTTGTATCATTTTAAGAATGAAATTAAAAATTGGAAATTGATTACTTTTGAATTAGTTGAAAAATGTAAACGTTAAACAATTTGCACTTTAGAGAAAAAAAACGAAAAATAAAAATTGATAGAAAGAAATGTTCGATTGTCATTACCAGGAAATGGAAATATTTATTATTTATATGAAGGAATTCTTACTGTAATAGTTTCAAATTAGATACGATAATATGATATATCATAATCAAACGGATGTAATTAATGGAAATTTTTAAAGTGTCACGTTCAAGTATCATACGAAAATTGGTCGTGTCAAGCAGTGATATGAGGACAAATTACATGATATCAATAATTTATATCTTATTAAATTTATTTTACATTCTTATTTTCAAGGAAGTCAGGTAATATATCCAGTAGAATGAGTGGTCAAATAATGTCCATTCCAAAGAGAATGGTCAAATAATAAATCAATGGTTTGAATTTATTTCAAGAAAGGAAACATTCGTTCTTTTATAATGAATGAATAAAAAAGGACTTGTCATCTAAGAGAGAGAGAGAAAAAAAAATGGAATTTTAGTCAAATGAAATGCTTCTTCATCATATTTTTGTCTAATGTCAACAAATGACCAGTTATTTTATTTTGGTCGATATGATTGACAAAGAAGCCACGTGCATTATACACATAAATACATATACGCATACACAAACATACACCCCCATACACGCACATACACACACATATACATGCGTACACACATACACAATTACACACATATACACACATAACATACACGGACACACATACATATATACACGTACATGTACAGATATACGTCGGTAAACCGTAATAGGCATATATGCGAAATAAATTATAATTAGTTCAGACAAGCAAATCGAATGAATTCAAAACAACCAGTTGAGGCTTAGAAATTTTAAGATGGCAAACGATGGCACTAACGATGAGATTTTGATCAGAAAATTGATATGATTCAGTTGATCAGATCAATGATCAAACAATCCTTTTTAAATATATTATTTTACACTATTTTTTAAAAATATATTGTTTTAAAATCTTTTTTTAGCTTTTTCAATAAAAATAAAAAACTAAAAAAGAATGGAAGGGTTTTTTTTCAACCAAACTACGGCATCTTTTCCTTAGATAATTTTCACTTTCTTTTCTAGTTTTCATTTCTTATCCTTAAACTTATCAATGTTTGCAAAAAAAAAAAAAAACAGTGAATGGGAAATGGAGTGACTTGCAGTAAGTGCCATAAAATGCGTAGGAAATAGAATGATATTCTTCTAAATCTACCGTAGTGCATATGATAATTGCTATATAAAAATCTTTGATAATCTGACGTCTAGTCTAATGTTCTGCGACAAATTTGCCTGTTGATTTTGATATTCTGTTACTTCCAGAAGTAATCAAAATGGATTTACAGTATTAAAAGTGAAATCACTTCAAACAAGATAAATTGGCAGTAATCAAAATGAATTTGTAATAATCGAAATCAATTCATAGTAATTAATGGAAAGCCCCAGTAATCGATATGAATTTATAATTAATGTTAATGCTTGCAGTAACAGTAATATGGAACTGATAGTTGTTGTTTTGTTACAGTTGTGAGAAAATGGGATCTTTATAGAATTGACTTTTAAGTATTAATTTTTAAGCTTAAATTTTAAGTTTTTATATTCAAATTAG